TACAGATGAGCAGTCATTTATATGCTCAATAATGCAACAGTCAGTCCTATGCACTATAAACCAAAATAATCAATAGTAAGCCATGGACAGGGCCTGCTAACCAGGAAACAGTTGTTAACAAAAGTGTACATTTAACCTTTTCAAATGTCATATTTCCCTTGAACAATGTGTCCTCATTAGTTTCTTGTCATTTAGATTTCTAGGTAACAGGATGATAATGGGGATAGGCTAATTTCCCAAAAGGACAAAGAAAACCGAGAAAAAAATAGAAAAAAGCACATTTGGTACATGTTGCCAGTTGGATAAGATTTCAAAACCTTTCTTCTTTCAATTGATCCAGGTATGTGAATAACTATGAACGCTTCTCAACTTTTCACTTTTCATAAAAAATGTAGCTTTTACAGGGCACTGAGAGCATTTTATTATTAATCAATATGTTACTATCATAAATTATTACAAAACTTGATATGCCATGCTGAAGCATTTAAAATTAATAAACTATAAAAAATGATATAACCAAACAGTTTTATAACGCCAAAAGGAGAACTTTGCTCAGAAAAAATGAAATTATAAAGAAAAGGTATAATAGTATGTGGTGTTTCCAGTCACTGATAAAGGTGAAACCAAATTTGGCAGTTGAGAGAAAATGTCACAAATCTAATTTAAATGTGTTTCACTGAGTATTTTATGAAGATAATTTGACTATACCTTCAAGCAGGGTATTTATTTCAATATTAAAAAAAGTAGAACACTTTAAGTTATAAGCCTAGAATATTGAAAAAATTAAGTCTTTAATGCATCCTTCACACCTTTTATCGCAGTAGCTGCAACCAATTATTTTTAAAATTCCTCTTAAGGTAACATCATAAATATATTACCTACAATGATATGTTTGATCTACAAAAACAATATATATATATATATATATATATATATATATATATATATATATATATATATATATATATATATATATATATATATATATATGTATGTTAAAAGTTTTTTTTTTCTTCTTTCAATATATGGTTGTCAGAATTTTACTTTAACTTCTAAAATACTAAAAAAAAGCAATTATTTGCATTAATAAATAATAGCTTTTTTTTTTTAATGTAGGAGTTTAAGTACAATTTTGGCATCCATAATAAAAAAAAATTAATGAAACTTTTAACATTAATAAGCCCTAGACATGTCTGTAAAATGTTTCATGAAAAAAATTTAATGTTGATTCTTTTTATTAAGCAACAGTAACTGCTGAAATGTCAGTTCTACCAAGTCACTTGTCTGCAATGCTAAATAACTGATGTTAATGGTTTAATTTTTGTTAACTTAAAGGAAAAGAATACAGTGGCATCATTGCCGTATACATTTTTTTACAGTGCAAGCTTTTGTCCACTGTCATGTTACATCATTTTTATGTTGCTATTAGTAAAACTTACTGAAAAGTAAAATATATTAATGTGAAGTGAGAATGCATTTAGAAATACAACAGAATGGAGTATCAATCCATTAGGTCAATTAAGTAGGTAAGGAGAGAATGACAGATAAACACATAACAAGCGCTAAGGAACTGATGGGTGGAGTAGGAAAATTCAATAATTGTATTCTTGTGGCAATGAAATCCTCTGTGCGACCTCTTTAACTTACAACTAAATAAAGGAATTGTGAGTACGATTCATTCCAAAATTGGATATCTACATAATACCCATATTACACAAAATCCGTTGGGTTACTGTGTAGTACAGAACCACAAAAGCTCCACTCTGTCATAGAGCTGATATTTTAACTGTCCGTGAAACTGAAATAGGTCCGCGGTTTACCAAAAGTATGAACACGCTGGACTGGAAAATTACTGTATATCCACGCGCTCTGCCGAGCTCAGCCACGTCGGAAAACTATCAAAATGTTGCAGATTTCAGTAACTGCTGGACTAGACGACCCAAATTTCATTTTATAAATGATCCATCAGAATAGAACTATACAATAATCCGGAAACATTTTGAATTTTATTATAAAACTGTTGTACACGGCAGTGTCATGTTGCGCGCTGATGCTGCCGCTTGGACCCAACCAAGCATGTCGGCAGACGATAAATAATGAACGCTCGATTCTGACCCGAGTTAAACGCATGTCTGGCCTTCGCAGTCCACACCAGAGAAACATTTTTATCTCATACTTTTCTAGCTAGTTTATTCTGCATGTATACGTCTAAGGACAGTAATGCATGACACTGACAGTGTGCGGAATTCTTTATAGAACGACACATAAGAAGTTACCCGGCTTAAATCTGGCATATTGACATCTTGAACAAAGCATGCAATTCCCGTAGAACATATCAAAATCACCTACTTTTCAGAATAAGAATTTTCCAAGTAATAACTGTGCATACTTACCAGCAAATGTCAGTCATTCCTACGCCATTTTCTTCCCGCTTCATTTTCAAAACAAACACTCCCTTGATGCTCCTTGGAAGCAATGTGCTGATCACCGGCCATATTGACTTTTAAAGAGAATCTCGTAGGTCTCTGCTGTAATATATAATAAAGAACAGTATTTTATGTAAATACACAATCCAATCACTGTAATCCATCAAAAAGATTCGTGCTTAATTATTGTTTAATTACTGTATTAATCATGGAATGCATTATTGTAGTAAGCCTCGTAAAAGATCATAAAACATCATTACTGGTGGCAGACGATGAGTAAATTCTCCCAACATGCATGCCGTGTCACGGTGTCAGCTTGCGGTCACGCACGAGAATCATAGAAGTTGCGTTAATGCACACTGTTAAGTCAGACGCGGTGGGAAAGAAAATAAAAATAAAATCGACCGATTAAAAAAAATAAACAAACATATGCATCTGAAAGAGAAAGTTATTTTGACATTTTTACATAAAAATTAATCAAAGCCAACTGTGTTTGATCCTTTCAAGACAACGCAAAGTGTGTGTGTGTGTGTGTGTGTGTGTATAGGCCTAAGTGTTGGGGGGGAGGGGGGGGTAAAAAGGTTAACTTGAAAAAAGCCTTCCTGCACCTGTGTAACATTTATGAAGCCTAGACTTGCAAGGCGGGTCTTTAAAACTGCAAAAACCAAGGCCCAACTATTGAGATTAATTACTTAGGCCTAGACAAGTGCTTGCAGGGAAACATTTAAAATAGGGCCTTGGCCCTACTAGGCCGGTCAGCTATCATGTTGGACTTGTTATATAGCCCTAGCTAGTTGTTATTTCAAATTTTATATATAAGCTTATCATTTTACCAACGCAGATACTCTAAAGTTTTTATGATTGGTATTTTAATAACACATCAAATTTTTAATGGCCTTTAGCCTACTTTTGATAAAACATAAAGGCCCCTTGAAGTGTGTTAGGCCTATGTTTATTTTTAATAGGCCTATTGACTTTTCTTCTTTATATGGGAAATCATAAGTTTAAGATGTTGGCGTGTAAGTGAAAAAGTATCGGATAGGCGTTAAAGACTGGGGGTCTACTTGTACATAGGCCTACCCTCTACCAGGATGACAGATATAAGGCCCTATAGGTAAGTTTTCAAAAGTCAGAGAATCAAATGACTATTTATCTAAAGACATAGGCCTATCTGTGAATATCTTGTGAAAAATCACTGTGTCGTCCTGGTGGGGGATACTAGTAGGCCTACACAAATTTGACCTACAATGCATACGGGATAAGATTCTCTTTCAAATAGCCTACCTACGTAACCCTTCACGCTATTTAAAGTCATCAACAATCACGTTTTTCATTAAAAGAGCACCTAAGCGTTTCCAAATATATATTTCAACAAATAAATTTTAAAATGCCAGGACATGGCATAGGGACTAGGTCACGTAAGTCACTTAATTTAGACCCAATTAATTGCTCATTTTGTCATTGTTAATAAGTCTAATTGATTATCATTTTTCAGTGGACTGATAGGCCTACTGGGCAAGGTGACTGATATTATATATCATATCATACCGTTTTTAGAACTGAAAACTTAGATAAAAGAATCTGTAAATAAAAAAAATTCAAAAAGGCATTGGGTCATTCTTTGTAATAATTAAATTGTATAAAAAAGAAAAATTAATAATAATAATAATAATAAAAGTAATTTGATGTTTGGTTAAAGTTAACATCTGCTGTGATTGGGGTATTTTAAATTTTTGTTTGACTTTAAAATCGTATATTCAAATTTTAAATTTTAATTTAATTTAAAACAAATTCAAGTCAAACTCGCGAAACGAATCATTTCACTATGTTTATCTATTTATTTATTTATTTATTTATTTATTTATTTTATTTTTTTAACCAAAATATTGGTATAGCCTCTTGCGTTCGCAGTGGAATCCAGAATTTACCCTCTTTTACTAAAAACAAAAAAGAAGGAAAAAAAAAAACAGATTAACAAGACAAAAAAGCACCGATATGAAACTTTAATCTTTCATTCCCACCCCTACCGTCACTGTTAAAAATAAAAAAAACAATCAGTCAATTAATAAACCACAGAAAAAAGACGTCAGCAGTCGAATGACAAAGTAAAAATCTATAAGGGGTAAATATACTTGTGGATTATCCTGCACGGATTACACAGATAGATTCCACTGTCTTCCGCCCCCTGCGCAATTAATTGTCTACATGTCACTGACGATCGTCCTAACATTACGTGATCTGCTGACAGCACCCTGTGCTATATAACAGACAAGGTATTACCCGTAAAGGCTACGAGTTACTAATCCCCTACTCCCTCCCCCACCCACCCACCCCACCCTTCCTTACGCACACCTCCACTACCACCGCAACCATTATAACGTTCTCCCATTCACTCGGCATTTTCGAAACAAACTAATTAGCTGTGCAGAAGGTTAACTACTCGTCGATTATATGATTATTTACTTATTTATAACTGATCTTCCCTGGAACAACGGTGTTTTCCCTAGCGAGAATCTCTTCATTGTATGTATCATTTCCCAAATGTTAAGAAACCCTCTAGCGTCTAGTGAAGAAGTTAAGAGTGACCTGCTCACGTCAGGCTGTACTCTTATGCGTACTTAAACAGACCCCAGCTCGATTATATAACATTAGATTAAAACACTTTACACGTATAGCACGCGAGGATGTACCTATCACGTGGTAATACAATCCCTTTGGTGGGACAATTACGGATTATTACAATTCATACTGGGATGAGGTAAGTGGTGATCGTTTTCTGTATAAGCCGTTTGAGAATATTGTTTATTGCGCAAGATTTGCGACGGTAGATTCAACAGTCAGCCACAACAGCGCAATGGCCTACTTTCTATAAACCCACATCTACACGTACAAATCTACGAGGTTATCATAGTATAGTAAAAATTGGGAACTGAAAAAACAGCTGTTTCGACACACTCGGTGTAATATGCTGTGCTGCGTTGTTCTGTCCAGCACTGGAGGATCTCGAGACCCTGACCCGATCAGACTAATGCTCTAGACAGTGTGAAGGGCGTAATGCTAAGTGTCTGATTTGCACAGACGCCGGGCCCTGGATTAAGGACAACACGAAAGACCTTGGTGTTTTAAGCCACAGGAAAAGACGCGGAACAGGTCATAGACACCACCACTAGTTCAAATGTACTTCGTGTAGTCTCGTAATCTACCTCTACAAAACAGAAGCGTTGGTCCCTAGGGTATTTCACCTCCTTTCCTCTATTCCCCCCGGACCCATTACCAAAATGCCTCCGCCATAGCAGTATTTCTGTGGCACCATTATGTAGTAGCGCCAATGTTTATGGCGAGTATAGACAGGTATAGTTGCGAGCAATGAACGTCTTGTGGCATATAAACAAACCTGGGGACAATACAAAGTGTACATCATATAATCATAGTACAGTTAGTACAATATCGATTTGTGGTAAACCTCTAAGAGAATAAAATATTAGCTTTGGTGAAGGAGACGCAGTTAATATCAGCAAGACTAAATGTAATCTAATGCTAGTGCAACGTCTCAGGGCTGAATGCGCCTGGGAAGGTGGAAGTTGGTTCCAGGAGAGGGTCGAGACCTGCAATAAGTTTGGGTTTGACAGTGCCGTGCTTACGCACGCGTGCATGTGCACGCACTCAAGCAATATAAAGGGTCTCCAAAATAGGGTATATATCCTGACGTGCAACAGAAAAGGATGAAAGGGAAATTTTTGTCCTTTGTGTAGCTTTTCCCTTTTCTCTTTATTTTGTTAAGATATCTCCGCCGTCTGCGACAGGTAGTTGGATACATGTATTTCTCTCCTTGCCCACGTTCCAAAGTCCACCATTCTTCTGATCAGAATTCTACCCCAATCCTATCCCATATTTCGTTAGAAACCATAAACATAAAAGAAGCACTGGTGTGCATACAGTCCTAGCGTAACTTAACGTGACAACGGAGTGTATGATTATAGAGCATGGGAAATATACCGGGGGAAGAGAAAAGGCCTCGAGTGTTTTATTCACTGGCCTATATTCAGTCTTGCAAGGTTCTGACAAAACTATCAAATGACATATTTCTTATTTGATTCATATACAATGCCCGTGCAATAGGTGCAGACTGAGAGCCCTTGGAGAGGAAAGTACGCAGTTTCAGCTGGTAAACAAATAAATAGATGAATAGATGGATAAATAATACTGCGAACAGCGTCTGGTCCTCGGATCAGGTAATGGGTCTCAAAGTCCTTAATTCTATTTCTGTCACGTACGGGCTCAGGGGGGAAGTTTTCTGCGAACGCTGGGCATAGATTGCCTGAGTTAAAGCACATCTGCAGTACTGGGTTAAGTAGAAGACAAATACTGTGGGGCATTACCATTAGCAGACTGAAGCAATGATCTCAATTTTTTGTTAACGGAAACTCATTAAGTACATGTGTATTAACGGGTACATGGCTTCATGCTACGTGATAAGAGGTGATTCTGGGTTAATGTACATCTCTAAGAATAGCATATTTGCTGGACAAGCTGAAACTAGAGAGAATTATTGTTCCAAGCAAACGAATATATCGTTCATGTGTTCGATGTTTTCTCCTCAAATTCTAGTGGCAAGTTGACTTTTTCAAACTCTTCAAAACATTGCATAAGAATATATATATATATATATATATATATATATATATATATATATATATATATATATGGCTTAATACCTGTATATACATGTATGTACGTGTAGATAATATCGGTCACAGCATCGAATTTTAATACTACCTCACGCCCGCCACGACTAACTTTTTCTTCTTTTCATTTTTAGGCAAAATACATATTCGTGATGTAATACTAACCAATTACAAAACTCCCTAACGTTTTGTAAATATAAATTGGCGTTAATACGGAGATTAAGACCGGCGAAAGATACACTGTAAAATCGAACCCTGGGAACAGGACCCTTTGAGCTCTCGCCTCAGGTTACCCGATACCAAACATACAGATTAGAACATAGCCTAAACATCCAAATCTAGCACACAAACGTTCACAACTGATTTTTGGTAGTACGAGCTGTAAAAAAAAACCAATACAGTGCATTATTTATGTGCAGTAAAAAAAGACGCGCTTTTTAGGCATTAAATCCAAAGAGCAAAAGGGCGACGTTTGCCGTTACTGTGGTATAGTCGAACGCGTGTTGTATTACCTCTCGTCTAAGATATTGAAGAGGCCCACGAGGGGGGAACGCTTAGAGTTAAATGAGATGCACAGTTGAGTCACATGTTATTAATTTGTTTTGTTATGGTGTACGGTTTATATCCTTGTGCGTGATATTACTGAATCAAATTAATGAAAAACGAAACTCATCCCCCCCCCCCCCCCAAAAAAAAAAAAAAAAAAAAATTGAAGTCCACATTTTTAGCCATTGGGCCCAGAATCTGATTATGTCAGAGATTACTCAGTTGGAAAACACGGAAAAGTGTCTTTGGCGCAGTGTTGCACACAAAATCAAAGATTTCTAGCTTTTCTTATAATTTGTTGCCATATAAATGGAAAAAAATTCAATTAAGATTGATAAAAATATTTTGTCTCCTGCTCTTTGATGCAAGAGAATGTGGTCACTGTGGATAAGGACAGTATATCGTGTATAGATGAGAAGAAAATGGGTTATTTTCTTTATTATTCATTTTATTTTTAAGGCAATATTATGACCTACTTTCTACTTGTTTTTTATTATATGAATTATTGACTTAAATTAAGAAAAAACATAAAACTGTGCACATGAAGTCATAACTTTACTAATGTTGCAAACTGCAAAATATATAAACGAAAATGTATAAATCTGGGCAACAGTGAACTATGTACTAAATATAGAAGCCATTTGCCCATGTGCAAAGGTCTTGAGTGACACCGTGACTGTCATACGAGATATTTCCCAAGTGAAAACTATTTGGTAGTTATAGGTGCACGTGCACGTGACTGTCATTTCAGAGCTGGATGCGTATTCTGTTTTTAGCTTTGGTTTTCTATGTCGGGCGTTTTTTTTTTAAAGAATGCGCTCTGTCACAATTACCGAGTTCGTTCTTTTTTCATCTGTATTAGATTAATACGGATAAAAAAATGTCATAGAAATGTCATAGTATGTCGTAGTGTATAGTTGAAGTTCGGTGTAAGTAAACCCTTAGAGAGAGCTTCAAAATCGCCGTTAAATTACAATTAAATGCGTTTAGATATTCTAATAACTTATAACTTCTTATAACTTTGTTTGGAAATTCGTATATCTGTCTGTTCTTAGAGTCTCAAGTGTTTGGTAAGTCATAAGTATGTCAACTCATTCTTAGTCCTTATGTCCAAGGGTGAACTCTTTTTTCGAAAAAAAAAAAAAATCACATACTGTAGTTTTGCTCTGTGAGACCTGGTTTCAATATATAAAACTGTTACATGTTGGTTACTAGAACCATTGTAACGTGACATTAGCAAAAACCTTCGCTAGGTTGTTAGAGGAAACGTATTCCTGAATATTTAGTGACTGAAGGATTTGGGTTATTTCTTGAACAGAAATAGATTTTATGTCCTTATATGTTATTGAAGTTAAAACAATCGATTGGAGTTTCCTCCTTGTAGACATTTTGCCTTTTATATCGGCACGCACTGATGTAAAACTACTTCAAAACAAGGATTGTCCTCTTGTTATCACATGTCTATGGATGTATTTGTAGACGATTTCCGATATCAGTTCTGTATCAACATAGTCATCACTGCGCATACCATTATAACTAATCTGCTGAATGTAAACTTACTGATATATTAATGGGAAGTTTTAAGCGAAGTAAAACAAATATTGAATCGTTAAGGTGACCTATTAAAAGACCAGAATAATCTTATAGACGTTAATCTATTTTAGAAAATAAATATACTGCCCCTACACCCAAATCGCATTTTTATGGGAAGTAAAAAAAAGAGTGAAGTGAAAAAGAAAAACAAATAATGGAGCCTTTCCCCTGGTTGAATTTTTTTCTGAATTTGAAATATTGCTACCTTAAACTGTATACTTTGCACCAGTGTGTTTAAAAATGACAATCCTCTCGGATTCGGTGAAATATCTGACAGTTTCTTCGGTTGGTGGCTGGAATTTCTTCATTAGTTTAGCGGACCAAAAGATTAAATTTAACAATGATAGAGCTAACAAGAAATCCAACGACAAACTTTGCGGGAAATAATATCAAATTATCAACATTCCGGAGCTTTCAAAGCCACCTTCGGATGGCTTCGGTTTCCTTTCAGATGAAAAGAAAAAACTGAACAAGTGTTCAAGGTGTCCCAGATGGAGACCGAGCTCGATTCGTAGGAATGTGTAGAATAGCGGAAGCTTGTTACGCGGCTTACCACCAGACCGCAAGGCCATCCCAGCTCGTTTGAATCTACCTGCTGGAGGAGGCAAAACAGTTGATGATAAAATTAGGAATTTGAACAACTTATTTTTATTGTAAAAGAAACATGCTATAAAAATTTCCTTTGTGAGTTCACTTAAATATATCTCACTGCTATAACTGCAAGTATATGTTGAGGTCATGGTAACACGAAGAACATCAAAATATTGTTATTTATATATAAATACATAATTGGTAGGAGGGGGATTAAATTATATTAAAACACCAATAATATGAAAGAAAAACGCGACGAATTAACAAAATGGCATTATTAAAAAGTGTTCTGCAATTTAAGAAAATTCGTTAAAATCATAAAAAAATTTATACTGAACATATG